GGAAACTTGGTGTTTTAGTGTCCGGTCCAGGGCAGATGAAAAGCACACTGAAAACATGAGCACTGTTGGGAGGTACTCCTGTCACACTCATGCTCCCAGAAGGCCCCTGGACCAGCAGCAGCAGCACAGGGAACTTACTAGGAACCCAGATACTCGAGCCATACCCCACACCTACCAAGCCAGAATGTCTGGTGTTTCCCATGCCCGCTCAGGGTGTGAGACACAGCTCTGTCTCTGAGCAAGCTGGGAACAGACACAGGGTTGTAAAAGCAGAGTGTGCAAGTCATTCAAGTGCTCTACTGACTCCGTGATCTACAGATCTATAACCCTGTAGGCCTCTCCTCTCTGTTCACTAGGGGTTCACAGACATCAGTCTTTCTAGGTGCACTGAGCATGACTGAGGTGGGGGGTAGAGGGAGTAGATGGGCTTTCAGACCTGCCCTCTTTATCTAACTGGCTGTGTGAGATTGGGTAAATGGCGTAACCTCTCTGAACTTCACTTCCCACACGTGGGTTAAAAAAACAAGGCTGATTTCTCTGCCCTTCTCCAGTTCTGAAGTATTGTTTGTGCTAGTCTCTTGGCATAACAATATGGGAAGGAGTTGGGGGGAAAAGTCAGGCCACTCAGGTTTATATAACATTGGATAATATATAAACATGGATATATAATACATATTCCAGTATACTAACATATATATCATTTTTATTTGCATTGCATATTGTATGTATGACATATACAGTATATATAATATGGATCAACCATTGAATTAGTGCCCACCATTGAATTAGCCAGCAGATGACTATATCTGCAGTTAGAAAGATTTATTGTTCCACCTGCGATTCAAGGAAGAATCACATTCATATTCAGTGCAATTGCTTCAAAGTCCTGATGATTCTAATGCCCCTGGAACCTAGAGGTTAGACTGCAATTAAGAAGTAGTTGTAAAGTAGTTATAAAGTCATAACATAGTTATAAAGAAGTAGCAAATAAGGGGGGGAAACGCCATGTTTTTATATCCAGATCCATGTTGCTAGTATCAGCTTGCTTGGTTTTAGAAGAATCACAACATAGATAGATAGATAGATAGATAGATAGATAGATAGATAGATAGATAGATAGATAGAGTAGATGTATACATACACACACTAGACAGCTATCTCCTTGGTATTATCATTTTGCATATCTTTTTCTCAACCGCTAATCATGGCATTATTTTGAGAGTACACCTTCCCAATTTTTTCTGCTGAAAATCAAGAAAACTACTAAACCTGTATCAGAAACAGGTACTAACATGATGACTGCCAGAAAATTATTCTCTCTAGCCAAAATTTTCCAAGAAAAGGTGACAATTTAGCCTTATGTGTTTTCTTTGATAGAAAAATCATATACTTTGTCACAGATCAGCAGTGGTTTCTTAAAAAGGCAGTTCAGGAATGGATGAGAGATACATACCTACTCAGTCTAGTTTTTATAGCAGAAAACTGAAAGCTGGTCTCATCCATCACAAACATCATAACATCTAGGGATATCTTATGAGCGGCCATCCCAGAAAACTACAGGATGTATGTCTTTGGAGTGAAGAAGTAAAATTTAACACCTGAGATTAACTTATTTTTATATTTTATTTTATAATTGTATCATTTTTTTTATATTATATATTTTCTTTTGGCTTTTTATGATTCTGCCTATATAATAAAATTCTAATCAAGTACTTTTTTCAGAATCATGAAAATGGTAATAGAGAAACAAAATTTAATATCTTCTCAATTCTGCTTAAGATTCAGTAAGCTGTCCTAGTATGAAATCTTGACATAGCCACTATTTTAAGGGCCACCATGCAAACATCACAGTTGACTTCCAACATGCTCGAAACGCCAGCCTGCCAACATGCATATGTTTGGGGTTGCATCATAATTCTACCAGAAAGTTTGATCCAGGGTTAAATTCCCTGTTGCCTTCTGAAGCCCAGTACTCATGAAAGAAAGAAGAAAAGTGAATTTGATAGTGGACATTTTCCATACTCCTATATTTAAAAGTCAGGGGCAAATTGACATTTTAATTGCACACAGATACAGGAAACTGGAGACATAAAGCATTCATTTTCCCCAGCTTGAAAGTTTATGTTGGAAGCTTCTATATTTCACACAATATTACTTTTTGGCACATGAAATCTGCTGGTTTCGGAAACGAAGAATTAGGTATTCCCTTGATCTAGTTTATAAATGCATCTGAACCACACCTTTAATATGATAATGCTTTTTATTTCCCCCTGGTGCCTTGGTGGTACAACTCTCTAACACACTTGTGAGGAAGGGGCCCGAGATTCCCTGCAAAAGCAGTAATGCCCTTACTTACTCCCAGATCGCAAATGGGGAGAGTGTTGGAATGAACCCTTCCCCCTCTCCTCCTGCATAAAACCCAGGCTTGCAACTCTCAGGGCTTAGGAAATAGCTTAGAGTGAAGAATTGTTTTATCTGAGAGTTATGCCCGAACATTCCTGCTAAAGCAGACAGTCATCAGTTAATCTCTGTAAGTGACTACACTTCTGGCAGGTGACAGCTGGTACAGAAATTGCTCACTAGTTAAAACTTTTTTTCTTTTTAAGCAGAGGGCAGTGGAAGGGAACTAATAAAAAATAATAATAATCTCATATTGCGCCTGGCCCCAGTAGTGGCTTACCTGAGATGACGTACTTCTCTTTGGTTTCTTGGTGGCATGTGGTCCCCAAACTGGGTGGCTGAGCCAGATACCTGACAGCCTTTCTTCAAAGGCCAGCTGGAGACTCCAAAACGCTGAATGTCATGTATTTACAGTATGTCGTACACATCATTCCTCTAGATCACCCCCCGTCCTTGACACAGCATTCTTCAAAAATGCCACTGGGTGCCCAAGGAATGTGAAATTTTCAAATGGGTACAAAATCTGCTGGAAGCCTCTGAACCATCACTTTGGCAACTGGCGTTCTTTCTGAGGCAGTAGAACTCTCCAGAATCATTTTTCCTGCCTCCTTCTCTCCTTAGCTCCCCATACCAGGTGTTAGGTCATGGTAGGCATTTTATGCTTTGAATAGCTTTTGAATTGGAATTATTTGTTTCTTTACAAGAAAATTTCAGATTTTTCAGTCTGACCATCAGGATGCTGAGAATCTGTGACAAAGATGAGAGGAAGGAGGAATCCAGGAAAGTTCCATCTAGAGTTAGTGAATGATACCATGATTGCCTGAAGTAGACTGTTCTAGAAAAAGACATTTTCATACTTCTGAGGGAAAAGGATGACAGGGGTTGTTCTGGGACCTGCCCCATGGCCTATCGCCCACAAGTCCAGTGCTTAAAATACGCGGCCGGTATGAGGCCTCTCGCATGTGTGCTGGGCCTGTGTGACTCAGGCTGTTTGTCTGTTTGTGCTCAGGCCGAGTGTTGTGGGCTACAGGGCTGAATCATAGTCCAGATTCGCCCTGGTGACACATGAAAAGAGGGAGCGTTGCATTGGAACTACACAAATATTATGCTTAAGTATTTTTCCTCATTTTGGAGCCAAACAGGTCTTGTTCATGATACAATCACTGCAGTATAGTGGGTCCTTTTTCTGGTCTGGAATTTGAGACAGTGTTGACTGTGCCAAGGGGCCTGGAAGCAGGAAGAAACGGCCAGCCTTAGAGATTTGGAGCCATAATACAAGTTATAAAACTTACCTTTCTAATTGTAGCAATTGGGAGCTGGGCTAAAATGCACTTCTCCCACCCCCACCTCTACTCAGCTGGCGCAGAGGAATGAGGCGACCCTCTTTCTCACTGAGGATTTCAGGGCATTCAAAAGAGCGCTCAATTGTGGCGCCAAGCAGACTGCTTCTCCAGCCTTATTTTGAGATTACTTGACCATCAGGGGAGGTGGCAGAATTGGTCAGCGATTCTTTATTGGAACTGCAGGGAGAGGAAAGGGGTGGCGGGGCATCCCCTTCTAAACAGGAATGACTCCCCCGGCCGCTTGTGGCTGCATGGGTATGTCGTGGACACCTCAGTTCTGCTCGGTAGGCTTGCTCCTCCGGTTTGATGACATTCGGGGGTGGGGGGAATTAGAGAGGAAATAGGAAGCCCACCCTCCCAGCCTGTCCTATGTGAATAGCCTCTGTTCCTGCATCCTGGTGACAGTGATTTTGACAAGGAGCGAAGTGAAGACACTTACTGTCTGTATAGACACTGAGGGGCTCATAATGGATTCCTGACCCCCTTGGGGAGCTCCTCCAATTAGCTGGCAGCATCCTTCAGGCTCTAGTGGGGCTGACCTGCTGGGAATACTGGACCTGAGAGGCCTGGGTTGCACCTTCTGTCAGCTCCTTAGATGGTGCACCTGAGAAAATCGGCTTCAGGGAAGAAAGAATGCTTGTGAAAAGCTTAGGAGGAGAGAGAGAGCAGGAGGGGCCGAGGTTCTGCTGATGCCCCTCATTTAGCAGGAAACCTGACCTCCCCAGGGGCTGTGGGTTTGCAGCCTTACCTCGTTTCCTGTTGGAAGGGGCAGACCTGGAAATTCCAGGCCCCCCTCTGCTGCCTCTAAAACCTGCCCATGGTTGGGTTTGCAGCAAGGAGTGGCTATTCTGATGCCACTGGGAGGGCACCTTTCCCGGCTGCCATAGCTCAGCCCGCAGTGAGTGGCCACATTCCAACCATTAATGCACCTCCTCCCTCCCTCCATCACTACCGCCTCCAAGCCCTGCATGCCTACTGCATCCTGCCTGGTAGAGGTGGGCACAGAGGGCTGGGGCAGGTGCTGGGGCCCAGACTCGGGGAGCAGCCAGGGTCCAACAAGATGGAAGGGGCCCCAAATTTCCACTGGGAGCCAGCCAAATGTGCAGATTTCCAGCAAATCCACACTGGGGGTGAGGGGAGAGGGAGGGGAAGGACAAGAAGACCCCAAATTTCAGAAAATCCACAATACGTTTTCTGATCTCTTCCCTCCCTCCTTCCCTGCCTCCCTCTCCCCTTCCCACCCCCTCCCCACAATAGGACATCGTCAGAAACTAGATGATCAGACCAAGCCTGGGAGCTTGTCCTTTTCCGAGCGGCTCAGTGAACTGGAGCACCTGCGTCGCACAGCCATGAGGGTCAGCCCACACCACCCAGCCCCCACACCCACCCCTCGGGCCTCCTTGAACCACTCCACTGCCTTTAACCCTCAGCCTCAGAGTCAGATGCAGGGTAAGTACTGGACAGAGCCTGCTTCCCCCTCTCAGCCTTGGGCAGAACCCACCCAGACAGATCCTGGCTTCTCCTCCATGCTTAAAGGGTGGTCTGCAAACTAGCAGCCTGGGAGCTTGCTAACACGCAGAGTCTCTGGCCCACCCGGGACCTACTAAGTCAGTTCTACATTGAAACTAGATCCACAGGCATGGCTACATAGACTATGGAGAGTTCTGTATATATATGTGGATAATATCTTAAGAGTAAGCTTTGGCTGTGCTACTTTCTTACCTACCCATTAGGCTCGAAGACACACACACACACACACACACACACACCACACACATATCAGGCAAGGTGAAAGTCAGGATGTTTTGAGTTCTTATTGTCTTCCTGGGGTTTATAGCTAATATATGTTCTTTTGAAGATAACAAAGAAATAGTGGGAATGTCTGGATGCCATCACATTAAAGATATTATTTACAATAAATAAATTTGCCATTAATAAAGAATGCAGGTTACCACTCTCACCATGGGGCTAGTTGGCAGTTGCAAACACTGTAAAATATAGTAACTGCGTAAAACCCACTGTGCCGAGTGAGATAATACACAAAGTTCATTTACACTCTGGCAACCGCTGATGTCAGTGATTATTTGCTCTATGATACCATTTCAAATTTCTGAAATGCAGCCGTTTCCTTGCTGCCGTGCAGTACACAGCTGTATATGATATGGTCACAGTAAGATTCCTTTCTCAAAGTAGCAAGCTTGTTTAACTCAGAGGGAAAGATAAGCAGTACATCTGGGGGAAAGGGTAGGTGGCCTGCAAGGGACATGATCCTGGCCTTTCTGGGACAGAAATGAGCTTCCACAGGCATTTTCTCAGTTTGAGTTGTATTGTGAGACATGCAAGTATCAGAAGTTCTGTAAGGTTTCTGGGCCAGTAGGTCTCTTTGGAGGCTAGAATATGTGGGGCTCTCTAAAGGCAGGCCCATTCTCTTGACAGAGGCTGGTGGCCCCTGGCATTAGCTCTCACAATTATGTTTCTCGCGGCGGTTCTTTCATTTGAGTAGAAAATTCCCCCAACAGACCTTCCCATGAGATTCTATACACAGAGCTGTTCAGTGGTCTATTTGTAGAGTGGCCCTGTTGTATTCAAACAAAACCCTAAAGCTTGACTTGGGAGGCCACCTCTCATCAGTGGTCTCAGGTGTATTTAGGTCCCATGAAACTGTCAGCTACCTGGTACTTAAAATCATGAATACTTGATTCAAAATACGTATATTGATTTTTTAAAGTTCCAAAGTGCAAGTGCATACAGTAAATTAGATCAAATGACACATTAAGTGAGATGGGTTTGGGGGTGAAATGATACTTTTCTTCTAAATAAAATAAGATTCTTGAGGCAATTCCTTGATTGTGTGATTAGGGCCATTTAAACGAATTTATGTCATCTCCAGGTCTCCACTGGTTTCTTACTTTCTCATTGCATAACTACCCGTTCATATGACTAGACTGATACAGAGATTTGCCTCTTTTTACTGAAACCAGAACCAAAAATATGAAGAAGCATTTTTAAAGGCAGTGGAAATTCAGCCACACAGGGGCCAGTTGAAGTTCTCACCATTAAATCAGCTTTGTTGTGGACAGTTTTGGTAAGGAGTGAATAGCACCTGATTTCCCTCCTGTCTGGTTTGCTCTAGAAGGGATGTGGGCTGAATTGAATTCTTGTCCTCAGTGGGCAGCAGCTCTTGGGTGGAGGTATTACTGTGGACAGGCATTCTTCGGCTCTTTGGAATACTGTATGCTTAGCAGGATATCAGATTTAACACAGAGCATCACCTCTTTCTTGGCCCTTTTAAAAACTTTTTACTTCTGCAACATCTAAGTAACAGTAACTCACTTTTAGAGTGCCCTAGAGGCTTAGTTGCTACTCTAAAGAAATGTGTTAACTGTATGGCTAGTGTTCTTTCTTTCCAAAATACGATTTGCTATTTATTCAGTATTTCACTTGTAAAATTGTGGGAACAACTTTAAAAAAAAATAAGTATCCAGGATATTTTCATGGAAAATGACTTTTTCCTTTTTCTTTCCCATTTTTCTATAAGAAAATGCTTTTTACCCTAGTCATGTTTTGAGTAGACCCTTGGGATTTTGTTCTGAAATTAGAAAGTTAACAGGGATACCAGTAAAGTCTCTTTCAGCTATAACCTTCATTTTCTTCTTGACAGGTAGGAAAATGGTTATTTTCCTGGCTTAGTTCTAGAGTTTTTATGTTATACTTAAGAAGATGCTTCCTATAAAAATTCAGCATGTGTTTATGGCTCTCTTTCAAAAGGCAGCAGTAGTTTTATGAAAAATATCCCAAAGGTAGTCAGAGCAGTTCTACAGTGGTGCCATACAAATGTGTGCATGTTCTCAGCACTGCAGAAATGTCAGCAGTGGGGGTGGGGGGCTTGGAGAGATCATGGGTGGACAGAGAGGCTGAGAAACTGTCTTGCTAGGTAGGACTTCATCTGGAGAGCTATGCCTGCCCCTTTAACTCTGTCCATAGGAAATCACAGACACAGAATAATGCCTGTATTTATCTAGAACCAGATGTGCTTGAGAATCACTCAAAACAGACATCTCAAATTATCTGGAGCAGGGTGCAGATGGAAAAGGGGGGCAGGTTGCCATGCCACCAACCCATTGTGTATATGTACTGAGGTTTTAACTGTGAGGGCTGAAGTTAATTTCAACTTCCTATTTTTCTAAGTCTTAAAATTGAATAGAAAGCCATTTTGCCATAGCTATACATTTTTGTAAGTAAAGACATCATCTTGAACTTCTACAGCCGAGTTTCAGAGTTCTTTTACAGTCATAGGAAGAAAAAAAGGACATGTGTCCTTTTAAAAGATGGACTGGGGAAGCTTCGAGAGAGACAAGGTGCTGATACGAATCAGTCATACCTCCTCCTTAAGAGATGGCTTCAGGTGACCTGAGCAAGTAATTTTAAGAATTTGACTCCTGGTTTGCCAAAAATGATGCACCACACTTAAAGCAGCATAACGCCCTCCTGTCTGGGAAGATGGAAACAGAATGCTATCTGCTGGTACAGACAACTGTCAAAACCAGACACTCTTAAAAGGCCAGTTTTGTTGTTCTTGTGTGTGATGCCTGAGGTTTAACTCTTTAACTGGACCAGTTATGATATAGTTTGGCATAGGTCAGACCTTCTGCATACATTATTCGGTTCTCACCACAATCCTGTAGTGTGGTTGACAGAGAAACTGAACCTCAGAGGTTAACAATTGCCCAACATTTCCAAGATAGTGACAGACTTGGACTCAAACCCAGACCTTTCTGGCTCTAAAGCTGGTGCTGACGGGTGGCAGTTTCTCCTGGGCTCTCGCTATTAGATAAGAGATTGATTAGATACAGCGCTGACCAGTGTCAAGAAGAATCCGTCGCCAAGGGGGAGGAGGGAACCATGCTGGCTGGTCATTCATCTGGTGGGCCTGTGTTGACTGTGTCTATTATCATGACATGTTCATAAAATAGTAACTTTAGGTCCGGACTCTGTGGTGGGCACCTTAATACACTGTCTCCTTTTGGGATGTGTACCTTTTTGCTTTTAAAGGTGGGAGAAAAGAAAACTTCACGCAGAAAAATGACTCTCTAAGCATGAGTGAATGGAAATTGAGTGGATTGGACCACTTCCTGTTTACTTCACTGGGGCAACAGCCAGGTCTTTCTACATGTAATAGTCTCTCCTATGGACCCACCAGGACTAAAGCCTTCTTAACATCAAGCCCAGGCAATATTCCATCAGCCTTTAGAAGTGTAGGTACCTTGCTTTGAGGAACCCTTATGGCCAGAGAGGGCAGATGGGGCCAACCCTTCAAATCATCTCTGATTTTTAATATTCCAAATGATTTTTGTTTTGATAGTGATTTTCCCCAAGAGTTAAAAGTTACTCTGGAAAGACCATATTCTGGTGCTACTGTCTGAAGCTTTTTGAGATGCTGAATTGACCTCATTTCTCAGCTTACAGGGTTACTTATGTCAATCTTTATCAGCTGGATTGACAAATGGAAAAAAAATACCTTTCCACTTTCCTGTAGAAGGAAAGATAAATCCCCTTGCCAGCTTGGGGGCTAAAATATCAAACTGCAGAGCATTTCTTCTCTTTCCTTCTCCATCTCTCTGTCTCTTCCTCCTTTCTTTCTCTCCTAGTAATTCTACAAGATCAAAAACAAAGTCAGGGTGGGGGCTGTTTGATTACCTTGGAAGAAGAGGTTACAGTCAAACACCAGAAATTCTTGTATGTAATCTATAAATGGTCATCTAATGGTTACACAAAATATTCAGGGTCCTAGAAATCAACTTATGAGACATGCTGTAAACATGTAAAGTGAGTGATTTACAAATAACTCTTTTATCTAGGTGTGGTAGAGTTCAAGAGCCTTTCAAGGTCTATGACATAACAGTCTTACACTGAAAAAGCCTAAATCAAGTGTTCCCATAAATAAATAAAAATAAATAATTGTAGGAAGAAGGAAGGAGGGCAGGTGGGGGAGGGAAGGAAGAAAAGAAAAACAGTGATATGGATGCAAAAGGAAGGGCTGGGTGTTAAGTGAGATGACAGGTGCTCCAGCCATATCCTGTCCCTCCTTCTGACAGTGGGCAGAGAGTTTACAAGTTAGCAGAACTAGAAGCTCTCTCAGGGCAGGACTTGAGAATTCAGTTACCATTTTCCGTGTTCTTGGCTGGTGTAACATAAAGTCTAAGTTTAAGGCAGGTTTGAAAAGTTCATGCCAATTCAGGAAGGGGGAAAGGAGAATGGGGAGGAAGATAAGTCTTTGTTTTTTCCTTTAAAAAGCCCCTACAGCCTTTCCTAGTCGGCCTCTGTTGCCTGAGTCTGATGTGGCTGCAGCCTGTCTCTTGTTCTTGCCTTCCACGCACTCCCACCAGGTACACTGTGGGGCTTAGCGTGGTAGCCAGCCTCGCTTTGCTGAGATACCAACACAAGGACTC